ATACAAAATTACTATATAGAATCCAATTAACTTTTTTGTTACGTAAGTATACAATGTTAAACAATAACAAAATCAATTTTTCTTGTTGTTTCCTTTTATAATAATTGTTGCTTGAATACTCAACAATATTAATATATTAAAATTTTAATTCAAATTATTTTACTTTAGTCAGATTGGTGTACAGGTGTTTCAATATTTCAGAAATGGCGTTCTGTTGTTGTTCGCTAGATGGAAAAAATTAATAAGTTAAAATCGCTGTAAAGCAGCTTTGAAAAAAATTTACGTCCAGGAAAATACCGCAATGGCGTGCGACCTGGTGGCCTGGTCCCGCCAGATACGTATCCACTTTTCCCCCTATGTTCCTACTTTCCATGTGCAACCTCGCATTTGTTGACTTCATTCTAACTAACACACGAGCGATGATTGCACGTTCATCGTCGCACCGGCGCAGAGTTCTACCTGCGATCGATAGTCTACAAGAGAGCCGAAACGATTCTCGTCGCAGCGATATACATACATGCGGCCAATATGACGTCACATCGCACGAGGCAATCTACGTCGCGAGATCAAATTCGCCGGTATGAAGGCCGAGATCCTTCCGCTCTCACTGAAAGAAGAACAAGGACGTGCCACGTCGAGAAACAAGAGATTCCTTTCGATTGCTGGTCTCTCGAACAGCACTTGTCTCAATACTTGTCCCAATCGTGAAATTTTATCGGGCAGAGAAACAGAGTTAATATATATCTATAGTAATAATGATTTAGAAAATATATATAAAATGATAAATAATAAATTCACATATACATTCACACGTCTAAGATTCTAAAAAATAGTACTCTACTTATTCGCGTGCATTATTTAAATAATGATCTAGAAACAGAGGAATCAATCTAGGGACCGTATTCTGATCTGAAAAACAGAGCGACTTGGAGAAGTTGGCGTCGGAAGGAGGGAGACGAGGAGAGATGTACTTTCAAACAGGAATTAAAAGTATACCGAGCGACATGCAGAGTCACCACAGTGAAATCAAGGTCGACAAAGACCACGAAGTTTTGCGATTGAATACAAACCTAAGAGCGAGAAAAAC